TAGTCGGGGCCACAGGTGATCTACTACTAGCACCACGACCACCACCCCTGCTACCAACTCCAACATTACTAGGTATAAGTGGTGTCTCATCTTCAATTTCTAATTTATTATCTTCTATACCGAAATCTTCCTGTAATTGTTTATAATCTATATTATTATCAGGTAATGTTTCAGAAACATGTGTAAAGTCATTTAGATTACTACCAGATGTTGAAGTAGTACCTCTTATTCTATTTCCCCTATTACCCCCATTAATAACCTTATTACAAACTCTTTTTGCAGCATTAAACATATTGTGAAAATTTAACTACTAGCAAAAATTAAATATGCAAACAACATAGTAAAAAAAGAGAAAGAGTTGGAGGGAATGCACCGAATTCGGCAGTAAATTGAACACTTGATGATTTCGCAGCTCCAATGTTACCACAAAGAAACGTCAAATTGTTCAAAGTTTGAAGTTCAATTGTTCAAACTTCAAATAATAAATAATACGATAAATTAAACTCCAAAAAAAATGAGAGCCAAATAGTTGATTGCACTTTAGGTGAAGAATGAGAGAATGATAATTGAGAATATGAGTTTGAAAATGAGAGATGAGTGAAGAAATGAAGAAGATGGGAGGTGTATTTATAATTTTCAAAGGGCTAAATTAGTAATTACAAAAAATATTATTTTTTTAAAAAAATTGCCCAAAAAAGGCTATTTGTGCAATCCAGCCGTTGGGCAACGACCAAAAGCCAGCTGGCCGTTGCCAACGGTCTAAAACGTTTAAAAAAAAATTAGAAATCTAGCCGTTAAACCGGTCCGGTTAATTGGTTCAATAGGCATTTTGGTTGATCGAGTTTGACTGGTCCGGTTAACCGATCTATTTAGGTGAACGGACCAACCCCCTAACCCAGCCCACCCGGCCCCCTAACTACCGGTACGGTCCGGGTTTCAACCGGTCTGGGCCGGTCTGAAAACGGGTCAACCCGACCCGTTTGACACCCTTACTCTATATCCCGTCGGGGTAGAGGTAAAGTCTGCGTTCATTCTACCCTCTCCAGACCCCACTAGTGGGATTTTACTGGGTGGTTGTTGTTATTGTTGTTGTTGAATTAAGCTATTTGAAGGCCAAACGGGCCTTCCAGCATCTAGTATCACCAATGCTCCAGCAAGTTTGTAACACGATTAAATGCATCGTATGGCCTTTTCTGAGGCTACTTTTGCAATTATGTCCCTGTTTGTCCAGTAGGCCAAAATTTGCCTTTAAAACTAATTAGAAATTGGGATGAATGTTTTATTCATAGACAAATTTAACCCACTAGCTAACACTAACAGAGATATAATTTAAATATAATTAATGGTCTCAAAAAAGGCCATTTGTGCAAATGCCTCTCTGCAACATGCACCTATTTGTGAACATTTAAAGCCAATTGATATAGAGAAAATCTCACTTTATACCCATTAATTCCAAACTATTTATCCTTTAATGCCCAGATCCAAACTATTTACTACTCCTACCCATACTCCCCAAACTATTTACCCGCTAGTTATGTCTCACACCACTAGAATCTTATCGTACATTCTACATAGGTGAGTGTGAAGAGCGTCAGAGTCCTCTCTGTCCTTTCATTCTTTTATTATTTGTTGACAAGTCAGTTTCGATTTATCAGCTTCTCTCAATTACTATAAAGTTTCCATCAAATCTTCTCTATCTCACTAGTAACCGAGTCCCCCCAAACCAATTTCTTCTATTCATCTTTAATTTCAGGTATAAAAAGTGAAATAATTCACACCATTACTACTACTACCACTACGTACAAATTCTGTGCATTTTGATAATACTACTAGGAGTTTTGCATTTATCAATCATGGGAAACAATATCTTCTCCTTCTAAATCGCCCCATCTGGTACCAAGTTTAAATGTTATAGTAAAGTTTTAAGGAAGAAAATAATTTTTTTGAAGATTTATTGTTTGATTCGATGTGGTGCTATAAAATATTGCTTATAGTATCTTCGAGTAAGCTCCCCAAATTTAAATTTTTGTGTATATTTGAATATCCACCATTGTTGGGCTTGAAGTTCAATTTTATTTTTGAAGATTTCTTAATTGATTCAAAGTGGGTGCTGTTAAATATTGCTTATAGTACCTTCTGGAAGTTCATACTGAAATTTGATAGCATTTGGACCTGATTTGAGGTGATTGAGATCGAAATTTTTAGTTGAAAATCGAAGAAGAACACAGCTACAGTATACCGCTACGGTATACAATATGCTGTAGGAGTATATAGCTATACTGCAACAGTACACTATTATAGTTTACAAAACAGTATACTGCTGCAGTATACTAATATACTATAGGAGTATATAGTTATACTGCAACAGTATACTATTATAGTATACAATATATTGTTATGGTATACTGTAATAATATGCAAGATACTGTAACAATATGCTGTAATAGTATACAATATACTATAATAGTATACTTATTACCCGTAAATTCACTTGTATTTTCCCTTTTAATTTGTTTTAAGCTTTTACCCAGCGTGAGGGGCAAATTGAAATTGCCAAAAAAAAATTACAGTATGCTATATGATGTAACGGTATACTCTTACAATTAGATCCTTTTAGAATTTTTTAAAGTTTTTATTGACAACTGATATTATTTTAGTTTAATAATTGAATTAATTTTTTTTAAATCATTGCGTACAATTGTATACCTTGTTGGTATAGCTATATACTATAGTAGTATCATATGTTAGTTAATATTTTTTTGATTGTATTAGCTACATTTAAATGGTACACAATTTGATTTTTCTTTAGTAATAATATAAGAAAAGAATAATAAAAACTAGTGAAAACAGAAAATGAAATTAGATTACGAAGAGAAAAAGAATATAAAAAAAAGAAGTTAAATGAAATTAGAAAAGGAAAAAAGGAAAAAATAAGAAGAAAACGAGAAAAAAGAAAAGGAGAAAAGGAAAAAAAAGAAAAAAGAAAAGAAAATAAGCATAGAAATAAAAAAGAATTGGAGAATAAGAAAAAATTCTCCACAAAACCTACTATGGGTAGGAAATGTAATTAGTTTATGGGTAGAAAAACAAATGGGTAGACAAGGGTAAATAATTTTATTTTTGTGGATAACTGTGTCAAAACCCCTTAAAAGAATCCCATGCGCTAAGATCAGTTTAGCAGAAGATTCAAAATGAAACAACTGTAATTATAATGGGCAGCAAGCTTTTTTATTTTTAATTTCTAAGGCAAACTGGCATTCCCCACTTTGAGAAATTGAATTCGTTAATTATGATGGTCAAACCATGGAGAAATTAAATGCTTTAATATAAAATGCACGGTTTGTCGGTAATCATAAATCATGTGTTTGGAGTAATTTCTGAATTCAATCGTTGAATAGAGAAGTTTTTATGTTTTTTTATTTCCTTTTGACAAGAGCGCATTTATTGTGTTTTTCTTACTTTCACTTCTTATTAATGTATTAATAACATAGTTCTTTACTTGTTAGTTGTGGTATTTCATTGGATACAGAGGTGAAAGCAAAAGAGAATTTTTAAAAGTTTATGATTTTAAATATGTTATGACATTTTTATGATTATAAGAGCATACCCTGCATTAAGCGAAAAAAATAAGTTTAAAGTTAAAATTTTCTAAATAATAGAAATGTGTGTTTCTAAACAAAGTAAAGAGAAAAAAGTCTTTAAATAGATGGAACAGAAGGAGTATCAATTTGAAGTACACAGTACAGCCATTTCGCCAACTTGTAAGCAGGGGCGGATATCGAGTATGTCCGTCCAATTCATCTGAATCCAGTATTTTTGCTGTAAAATATAAATTTATGTATAAAAATTTATTAAAATTGTAACAAATAGTAGGTCTGAATCCATAACTTTAAGCATACAATGGCTTAAATGCTAAATCCTTAAAAGTTGAACCCAGAAAATCTAAATCCTGAATCCGCCTTCGGTAAGCCAAACCATTCATATGCTCTATCACTCTATAGTCTATACTAACATTGCATATATGTAGGCACGCATTATATTTAATTTATAACATTGCATTTAATGCTGTATCCCTTTCTCTGCCCATTCATATACGTAAGGTATGTCAGTATTATTACTGTAATAAAGATATTTCTTTTAGAAAACGTGGTTCAATGATGACTTCTGGTAAGGGCTACACGTTATTCTGTCAGGAGTACACTATTGTCTTCTCCTCATGGGAGTTGAAACTTCACTATCTCTAATTTCCTCATTTATTTTTCATCTCCCTTTCTTTAATTCTTTTATCAAAACCCTTGGATGGAAAGGAAGAGGAAGAAAATATTAATTTCCCTTCCCTCGTTTAGTTACTTGGAGAAGATAATTAATCATGTTGCTAAAATCGAATGGGAGGCTGTAGTGATAAAATAATGTACATGTCATGAGCATGTTCCGGATATGAGCTGATACTGGCGGAGTCACATGTATTTAAGAGGTGTCAACTGACACATCGTCATCAAAAATTTATACTGTATAGCTAGGTAAATTTTTCTTCTTACGTATATATACTATATATTGACTCCTTTGTCATATTCGTGGGCTTATAGCCCGTTTGGCCAAGCTTCAAAAATCAANAAAAAAGAAGTTAATTCCTTCTTGATATTTGAAAAAAATCATATATTATGTACCACAAAAAAGAGCCCAAAAAATTAAATAAAGTGGACCGGAAGGAGTAATTAGTATCCTGTCTTCTAAATAGGAGCAGAGCTAGAGAGACGGAACAAGTTTATCTGAATCCTTCTCCGAAAAAGTATATATATATATATATATATATATATATATATATATATATATATATATATATATATTAGATGTTGAATCTTCCTAGTTTAATTTATTCGCTTATTTTTTATTTTAAATTTCCTTGGTGAAATTACTAGCTTGGTTTATTGGCAATCTTTTTAACTACTCAAAATCTATGTGTATGTACTACTAGTGTATTGATTACTCTTCATTTGGTCATGTTTCATTCATGATTTCTTGATTTATTTATTGTCCTTCTTCTACCCCCACACCCACCCCAGCCCCTACTTCCTCCTAATTCCAAGTTTTTTTTTCTTCTGATCTTATTCTGGCTCCAAACCTGAGTTTTACTGTGATTTCATTTCCTTCTGTTGATATTTCTGAAACAGCCATAAATTCCATTGAATGATCTTGTGACATGTAAAGGGTTTCACTGGCTAAGTGAAAAAAATTGACCATTTAAATATGGTGTAAATAACATCTATTTTTTTTCAGCCTGAAGGTAAGGTCCAAAAATAAGAAAAGCAGAAATGGAGGTGAGAAATAATAATGAAGTTGAATATTCTAAGATGGAGGATTATGAAGTGATAGAACAAATTGGTAGAGGAGCTTTTGGAGCTGCATTTCTTGTTCATCACAAGTTTGAGAAAAGAAAGTAATGTTTCTTCTTCTTCTTCTAATAGTTCTAGGTTTCTGCTTCATCTTCTTCATTTTCCCTTCTTGTATGAAACATTGCTATTACTATGTAGAGTAATTTAACTGCTTTTTTGGCTTCGGTCTTTTTTTTTATCTTCTTGTTATTCCTACTTGTTGCCTTTACTTTTTTCATCAGTTCTCTAGCCAGTGGCGGAGGGGGGATTACCGCTAAGGGGTTCAAAAAAGAAAAAAGTCAAGAAGATTGTAGCTAATGGAAATAGAACCAATGACTTTACAAAGGTTTTGGACCTCCCTAACCACTAAGCTATGCTTTTGGGTTGTGCCAAGAGGATTCAAAACATAATATATAGAGGTAAAAAACAGATTTTGCCTTATATATATTATATATAGTGTAATTTTTGGTGAAGGTGGTTCGGGTGAACACCCTCCGCCCTTGCGAGCGTCTATATCAGAAACAGTTTCTCTGTCCTTCCAGGGTAGGGGTAAGACTGCATACATCTTATCCTCCCCAGATCCCACTTGTGAGAAATTATTCGATTTTTTGTTGTTGTTGTATGAAACTGACTATGTCGATTGGTTGAATTGTGTAACCATTTCATCTAAAAGTTAAACTGCTAGAGAGAACACAATTTTATTTTCTTAATTATGTCTCAATACGCTCTCTCTCATATGCAGAGCTGATTCTTTTGATGTGCTAAACACGTAATTTTTTTCTAGATACTAGGTGACGGTATGTGATCATCGTATCTAAAAGTTTAAACTGTCATAAAGAGAATATACTTTTATTTTCTTAATTATGTCCTAACAGTTACATCATTAACCAAATAGAATAATCACATGATTCCCAACCAATGCTCATTAGTAGTAAAGATTTTCTTTGTGTCCCTTTTTTTTTTGGTTTTTGAATTGTGGTTTATTCAAAAAAAAAAAAAAAAATCAATTATGTTCAACTGTAGGTATGTAATGAAGAAGATCCGTTTGGCTAAACAGACAGAAAAGTTCAAGCGTACTGCCCATCAAGAGGTTAGTCACTTTAATCTTCAAATTAAAGCATTCCTTTAAATTAACACTAACCTTAAGAAAAAATGTTAGTATTACATTTAAATGAATCAAGTTCCGAAATGTAGATAAAATTGCCTTTTTAAATTATTAATCTTATTGCTAATTAATACTTATTATAATGATTTACTTATAATTATCTTATAAATGATCTATATGTATACATAAAGAGAAAAGAACCTAACATTAGTGCCGTAGGCACCTTGCTTGACACCGCTTCGTCATTTTTCTCGTAATCTATATATATAAGTAATTAATAAAATTAAAAAGATTGGGTAAATATAAACAATGACACCGCTTGTTATTATAGTAATTTATTTATTTATTCCCTTTTTTAAATATTAACACTGCTTACAAAAATTTTTGTGTACGCCACTGGCTAACATGTTCACTTTATTCTTCCTCAAACAAAAGTGGTAGATGGCTGTGATAAATTAACTTTCCTATTATTGCTACCAAAGGAATGTTTCATATTTTGGCACACCTAACTTGACCTGCTTTGACCAAATGCATTCTGGTGTAACAACCTCCCTGTCAAATATATAAAAGCAAACAATGAGAAATTATAAAAAATAAAAAAAAAAGTAAGATGTAAAATGTTTGGTAGATATTATAAATGTTAGAAATAACTTCCAACTTCTTTTCCTTACTGTCAAGTAATTATTTTTTCTGTCATAGCTTTCAATGTTATTAAATGAGAATTGTCTCAAGTTCTTGCACTTATTTTCCAACGTGGTCAAGACAAGATGAACCATCACAAGAACCTTAGGTTATAATTTTTTAATATAGTAATATAAAGGAAATTATTTTACGTATGCACAAGGCATCCCGCATTCACACAGGATACAGAAAAGAGCCGTACGCCCAACGGGTAGTAATATAGACAGTCTACTCTAGTGGCTGCTTCCACAAGGCATCCCGTGTCCACACAGGGTCCGGAGAAGGGCCCACCCCCCAAGGGGTAATAATGTAGACAGTATACCTTAATGCAAACACTAGTGACAGCTTCCATGGCTTGAACTCATGACCTTTAGGCCACACATAAATAACTGTACCGTTGCTTCAAGGCTTCATGACCTATAGGCCACACATAAATAACTTTACTGTTGCTTCAAAGATTCATGACCTATAAGTCACACGTAAAAAATTTTACCGTTGCTTCAAATCTTCGTTCATTCTATGCATGCAACTATTTCTATAAACAATTATCTAATTATAGAGTAAGTAATTATTCTTATCTGACCTTCAATTTTAATTCTTGCAGATGAATTTGATAGCCAAGCTAGATAACCCTTATATTGTAGAATACAAGGATGCATGGGTAGAGATGGTACACAATTAATAAACATTGTGAATCTTTTAAGGGACTGAATGTTTCAGTAAATTTAATTTCTTGTACTAAACTAATGAATTTTATAATTTTTTTTTTTTTTTTTTTTGGTTATGAATTAGGACTCCTTTGTCTGCATTGTGACAAGTTACTGTGAAGGTGGAGACATGTAAGTCTACCAAACATGGCTTTGTAAATTAGAATATTTTTTTTCATTATATTCTTTTGTTGATAGATCTTATTGTACTTATTTTCAGGACTGAAATTATTAGAAAAGCCAGAGGAACTTTTTTCCCTGAAGAGGTAATTGAAAAATGAGAATTTACTAAATTAGTTGTTTTAATATGTCAAAATAATTGTGACACTACTATTACCATAGATAAAATTCACTAATCACACTTAAATAAATTAACTCAAGCTTACTTTTGTTCTTCCCACAGAGACTTTGCAAATGGTTGACTCAGTTGTTGCTGGCTCTTGATTACCTTCACTCCAATCGTGTTCTTCACAGAGATCTCAAAGTATGATTTTTTATATTTTTTTTGTAAATATTGGTACGTATTTTGTCCGACCCCAACTTGTCCGGGACTGAGTCGACATCGTTGTTGTTGTTGTTGTTATGATCATCACATTAGAATTAACAGTTTGATTTGATTTGCTCCAGTGCTCTAACATTTTCCTTACCAAAGACGATGAAATCAGACTTGGTAAGAAGAATTAAACAGACTTTTTTACTATTTATTTTATGTTAGAAGCCTGCATTTTTCTTATTCTTTATGAGATTTATGTCTACAGGTGATTTTGGATTAGCCAAATTGCTGAATAAAGATGATCTTGCCTCTTCAGTAAGAAACCCTCCCTCTCTTTCTCTAGTAATATTGGCATGACGTAAGCTTAAATGAAGTAACATGGTCAATGAGAATTCATATAAGGGAAACTTACACAAATGTCCCAAATAAATCTCAACTTACCAACCTCTAGCCATTAGTCATAGACTTACCAAAATAGCCAACAAAAATTGAAAAACCAAATAATAGGGTTCTTTCTCTCAAAAAATCACATGCAAAAATCACCTTCCATATTTTTAAGCGTGATTAGCAACATTAGATACAAGACGGAAAGGAAATTTCATGGATGGGGTAGCAAATAAGGTGATGAAATACAAAAATCTATACAATATTCCAAAAATCTAAACGAAAAAGGAACTTTTTCAATGGGTATAGTTGAAATTCATTGAAAATATATAGATAAGTCAATATACAAAATTTGAGGAAGATTGGAGGTTATTTGGACTGGTTTTGTATCAAAATTCGTAATTAAATCGAGTTCAAAAAAGTCTTCTGCGACACATGTATCAAACATGTATCACGCATATATCACACACATAGGTATACATGGATATACATGTCATACACAATTGACAAATATGATACATATGTGATACACAAATGATACACAGTGTGATACACATCATTTTTTTTCATGTTCAGCTTTTACTTCGAATTTTCAAGTCAAACCACCTCAAAACTTCATCAAATCATCCCAAAACTGAGATTCAAGCTCCTTAAGTTGTGCCCAATCTATTCTAATAACAGCCACTCAAAACAAAGCAAAAATTTGATATTTTTTGCTACAAATAGTTAATTGGCTAATTTGGCTAATATTAGTAATATTTTATCAATTGGCCAATTTTTGTAATGAGCTACTTATAAATGGACATAGCTGATAATTTCCCCTTCATATAATCGATCTCAACTTGTTTGGGACGAAGCTACTGGTGTTGTTGATGTATTGGTGTTTTAAAATGTTCCACATTGCAACTTTTCTACAGTTAGTTATATTCAACTGTAGTTGTTTTAAGCAAATAAGTGGTCATTATTGTGAAGGGGAGCTTTGGCGTAACTGGTAAAGTTCTTGTCATGTAAGTGGTCACAAGTTCGAGCTCGGAAACAACCTCTTGCATAAATGCAGGATAAGATTGCGTGCTATAGACCCTTGTGGTTCGGTCCTTCCCCGGACCCGCGCATAGCGGGAGCTTAGTGCATCGGGCTGCCCTTTATTTATTTTTTAAGTGGTCATTATTAAGAATTTCTCAGCTACAACCTTTTCAAAAAATAGGGCAGCCCGATACACGAAGCATCATGCAGGGTCCGAAGAAGTGCCGCACCCAGAGGGTGTGATGTAGACATACCTATTCTAATGCAAACATTAGTAGCTGATTTCACGCCTCGAACTCATGACCTATTACACACGAAGAAAAATTTATCATTGCTGCAAAACTCCCTTACGATGAGTGACCAATGTAACAGATGAACCAGATGAATAGAGGGATGCAAGAAAACTTATATTTCATCTAATAAAGCTGATTGAGAGCTGGAGCATCTTGAGTAGTACTAATCTTATTATGATTCTTGAATTTTTCCATAGATTGTGGGAACTCCAACATATATGTGCCCTGAGCTCCTAGCAGATATACCTTATGGATACAAATCAGACATATGGTCTCTAGGTAAATAATCATCAAATTATACCTATGTTGCTCAGACTTTCAAATATACCGCCAGGTGCGTGTCAGATCCAAAGTACTGCATTTTCGGAGGATCTGACACAAATACGACAACATTTTTTGGAGTGTTCGAGCAACATAGCATTATACTACTTTAACTTGTTTTTTACCCTGAATTGCTTGCAATGATATAATGATTTGCTTGTCCAGGTTGTTGTATGTTTGAAATTGCTGCTCATATGCCTGCATTTCGAGCTCCGGTAAGTTACATAAGATCCTATATATCTTCTGCAGTTTCACTTCTGTAGTTCTATTCATTGAAAGAACAGGATTTAATTTGTAGTTAACCAAACAGGATATGCCTGGACTGATCAACAAAATAAACAGATCCACTGTCTCTCCACTTCCAACCATATATTCCTCCACGTTGTAAGACAATAAACCGATAGATTTCTCATTTTCACGATACGTTAAGTTTTAGACTAATTCATCAGCTTCGTGTACTGATTTGTTCGTTCCAGGAAACGATTGATCAAAAGTATGCTAAGAAAAAGCCCCGAACATAGACCTACGGTCAGTTTAACACACTCGCATTTTGTTGTATCCCAGAATAACGTTGCATATACATATATAACTGGTCTAATACTTTTTATGTCGTATAAATTCAGGCTGCAGAGTTGTTGAGGCATCCACATTTACAACCATACCTTGCCAAATGCCGGAACTTGCCACCAGCATTTGTATCAGTAGTTTCTGACAAAGAAGCAAAACATACTAATGAGTCAACTTCCAAGCCTACGTTAAGAAAAGATCAAAGGCTTCCGAAGGAAATTAGACAAGCCAAAAAACAAGACAAGGTTGTTGCAGTTGAAAAAGTTCATCAACTCAAAGGCGAAGCGCCTAATACGTGTAAAATCAAGAAAAATAACCTTCAGATCAAGAAAGTAGAAAATTCGGAGAATGAAAGACGCCAAAGCATATCCGTCAAGAAAAGTGGAAGTACTAATTCAAGAAGCTCCACAAGAAGTACTTTGACTGATCAACATGAAGCTGATACGAAAGAATTCGTAGCTGAGGCTTATAACATAACTGAGGGAAATGCGGGTACAGATCAAGAAAAGCATAAACCAACCGTTCATAGGCCTATAGAGAGCAAGAAAGATGCAAAATCTCAACCAGAAGAGCAAAATAAACGCACATTGAAGAAACCAGGAATACCAAAACCATATAATGAAGTTGCAGCAAAAGCCATTGATCATCTATGTACTAATCGGGATACAGAAAAACACGATGGTCATAAACGTGCAGCGAGTGAGACATCAGTAATGGCTACACTGAATTTGTTACAAGGGAAGAACAATGTGGGAATTAGTATGAGCAATGAAAGGGCAGAAGCACTAGAGTCATTACTTGAATTTTGTGCAGAGTTACTTAAGCATGAAAAGATAGAAGAATTAGCTGGTGTGCTAAAACCATTTGGAGAAGAAGCTGTTTCTTCTAGAGAAACTGCAATTTGGTTGTCAAAAGGATTAATGAATCTTCAAAACCAAGCTGAGGAAGCTAAAAGTGCATAGGTTTCTTGAAAAAATTCTTGTAAAATGTAAGCATTTGATTCTTGTTTTTGAATTGATCTTGAATTAATGCTTGTAGATAAAAGCTTAAAAACAGAAGAAGAGAACAAGGTAGCTCTGTGCTTATAACAGAAGTAACGGTAGAAAAAGGGCAGCCCAGTGCACTAAGCTCCCGCTATGCGCGGGGTCCGGGAAAGGGTCGGGCACAAGGGTCTATTGTACGCAGCCTTACCCTGCATTTCTGCAAAAGGCTGTTTCCGCGGCTTGAACCCTATGGTAAGAAACAATAAACAAACATATAGTCTGTTTGGCCAGGCTTCTAAAATCGGCTTATTTTCAAAAATACTTTTGGTGAAAAACAGTTTGTATTTGGCTAATCAATTTGAAAAACACTTTTGAACAACAATTAGTGTTTGACTAAGCTTTTAGAAACTGCTTCTAAGTGTATTTTACTCAAAAGGGAAGAAATTACTTTTTTTTGCTTCTCAAAAACTGCTTTTGCTTCTACTCAAAAACATTTTTTTTCCTTTCGAAGAATAAAGAACGAAAATGTTATAATCATGTGGCACTTAACATGTCATGTCATCGTACAAGAATAATTTTACATTATTATATGGAACGGTTCGGTTTTGACGTGTAAATAGAAACAGAAAATGTTACTTGGTCGTCTCCTTTCCTTTTCAAAGACAGCTATTGCAGAAATAGAAAAAGAAGAAAATGTTGAGAATAAAACAAGACGTGTAGACCTAAATCCATGTTGAACCTTTTTTGAGCTTTTAGGACTGTTTGCTCAAAAGTTATCACATATCTTATGAGTGCAAAACAATACAAATAATCACGGAAAAATCATAGCAAATCGTAATAATCCATTGGACCAAATGAAAGAAACGAAAATAAGTACTCAGAATTAGGGGAAGAAACATTAAAAACCTTTATTGATAATATTTGTTTGGTCTGCCTCTCCATGAAGAGGTTCAGAGCCTTACAATGGTGTTTTTCTCTTCCCATAAGATGGGTATATTTTTCCCTTCTCTCTCCTGTCTATAGTAGTGAAGAAGCAACCCCCTTTCTAGGGCTTCCACTCTTAGTATTTATAGATGTGAGCTTCGTGAGCTGGCAATAAATGGCCGTGGCCACGCTGAGGTTCCGTCCCCGTGGGGGAATGAATGGGCCGTGCCCTCGTAGATTCAATCGGACAAGAGTCGAATCCTCTTATAAATAAGTGGCCGTACCACTTATTAATTATGGATTAGCTCAAGAGGAGATTAACTCCGTTAATTACCGTGAGGTCAGATTCTGACCCATACAGTTAGTCCCTCCGCTTATTGAGGTCGTGTTTCGGCCGAGCTCGATGAGCGGATTTCATCGATTGTGATTTGAAAAAACTCGAATAAGGGGGTCGACTTATTGACGGCGGCGGCCTTAGTTGTTTACACGTTGGAGATGGCCGTAGCATTTCATATATTGGAGGTGGCCGTAGCCTTTCATATAATGGCGATGGCCATGGCCTTTCATATAATGGCGATGGCCGTAGCCTTTCATATGCTGGAGAGCCTTTCATATTTTGGAGATGGCCGTAGCCTTTCATATATTGGGGTGGCCGTAGCCTTTCATATAATGGGGATGGCCGTAGCCTTTCATATAATGGCGATGGCCGTAGCCTTTCATATGCTGGAGAGCCTTTCATATTTTGGAGATGGCCGTAGCCTTTCATATATTGGGGGTGGCCGTAGCCTTTCATATGTTGGAGATGGTCGTAGCCTTTCATATATTGGGGGTGACCGTAGCCTTTCATAGTTTAGAGATGGCCGTGGAAAATGAGTATGCGCCGGGTACGTATTTGGTCACGTCCAGAATTTTGAAGGCGTACGGCACATTCTTTCAGCGTTTGCAGGCCGTTGCGATTATTCTGACGGCGGGACGTTGGCGGATGGCTGAGAAGCCGCTTTGCGGAGCTTGTCATAATGACGCTTGCTTCGGCAGAATCGAACCGTTTTACGGTTGGTCGTGCAGTTAATGATGGCTATTGGGTTTCGCGAAAGTCATTTATGTTGCCTATAAAGGTGGATTGAGGCATTCATTTCTCATATCTTCATTGTTCATCTGAGAGAGAGACTCTGAGGAGACTTTTTCGTTTCGCTAATTCATCTTCTCTTTTCTTTCCTATGATTGTGGTATCATTTGTCTTCAGTAGATCAACAATGGCAGTCAGTTCTTCCCACGGTGCTCTTTCGGTAAATTTTTCGGTAGTTGGAGGGCCATCTCCGACGATGGGAGGTGCAGAACAGATGGAGTCCGGCGAAATTCCGTCGGTTGACGAGGTGGTTCCTCGGCCCGGAGGTCTGGCGATTGATTTCACCGTCGACGGTGGAGAGGAACCGGTGGATGAAGCCCCGTTGATGGGGGAGATCGGGATGGCCCGATTGCGGGAACAGGGGGTCGTTCCTACCCATGCAGACATCGTTCTCGCTAGAAGCGAGGAGAGGGTCCACACCGACCGCAGGGGATACTGCGTTTTCTACGCCTATCCTTTCAGGTTGGGGTTCAAGATCCCGCTCCCAATGCTGGTGGTGGATTTCTGCCGTTATTACGGGGTGTGCCCGGGTCAGCTCACTCCTTCCCTCTACAAACTGCTGGCAATGTTCATCAAGTACGCGGAATTGGCCCGAAGGGAGGTCACGCTGCAGCATGTGCTGAGTCTCTACGCTCCCCAGAGAGTCCGTGGTACCATGATTCAGGCGTGCCCTCGTGGGTCGAGGGGCCTGGTCATGAGATTGGATGACGAGGTCGACCCCCGCCCTTTCGAGCACTTCTTTTATATTAGGACCAAGCACCTGGTGGCGGATGCTACTGGGTTCCCAGAGGCTTGGAACCATGCACGTAAGTTCTTTAGTGGTTGAATTCTCTTTTCTTCCCCTCTTTGTGATTTGTGCTTATGAGCGTTAACTCGTGTCTTTTTTGTAGCCGACAGGTCGCCGCCGCCCCCATTGTCTTGGATACGTGAGTGGGTCGAGGCCGTACTCCCCCATACGAGGGGGATACGTACGTGGGCGTCTTTCTGGGAGAGGCATGGCCGTAGGCCCGCGGCAGGTAAAAAATTGATTTCTTCTGTTCCGCTTTGTTTCAGCTCTATTCATTAACCTTGTTTTCTTGTGATTAGGGAGGGCACGCCGCGTCAGGGCCCCTCAGCTGGCCTTCCGTCGGCCTGGTGCAGTTGCTCGGCTTACTGCAGCGCCGGTGTCGCGCTCAACACCGAGGGCGGCATCAGTCGAGTCTTCAGCGGTTTCTTCTCC